TGGCCGCAGTGGCAGGGCCAGCAGCACGGCGCGGCGCCGGGGGAGCAGCACGTGCAGCAGCCCGGCCAACCCGAGGCCTTCTCGGTAAGGCCGCGCTTTGTTCCCTCGGGGGCCGAGGGGTTTTGCTCGGGTCGGGGCGCCCGGCTGCTCCTCGCTCCCGTCCGTGGCGTCCGGGAGGGGCTGCGGCTCGGGGGTCGCTGGCGGGGCTGCGGGCGGGGGGCGGAGCTGCTCTGCACGGTCGGCTTTGTGTCCCCTCCCGTCCCACGATCGGCGTGAAACCCCGCCGGTTCTGCTGCCAGGTTCACCCTTACGGCTCTCGTTTAAAGAGAGCAAGCAGCAAAAACCCCCGTGATGTAAGAAACAAAAAGCACAAAGCGGCCCTCAAGGCGTGGAGCTGAGCTGCGCGGGGCACAGCGCCGCAGAACGGCCGGGTGGGAAAAGCCCCCGGCTTCACCCAGTGCAGCCACCCCCCTCCCCTCCGCCCCACAGCCTCGGGGCAGCGCAGAAACGTGGGGTGGGGGCCTGGGCAGGGAGGGCTGAGCCCTGGGGGGGGAAGGAGGGGATTTGGGGCCCTGGGGGCGCAGTGCCCGCGCTCTGCCGTGCCGCTCTAACCCGGCCTCTCTTCTTCTGCCCCGCAGGACATGCTGACCATGCTGGGAGACCAAGGCCCCAACTACAACAGCGAGGAGTTCCCCGAGTTGAACATCTTCCCTTCTTTCTCAGAGTAAAACTGGAGCTCTGGGGGCGGAGCGGCCGCGCGGTGTAACGTTAAACCTGCGCCTAAGGGAAGCGAAGGCGCCGCTCTGGAGGGGCTCAAAGACCGCTGAACTTTGTGAACTCTTTGCTGGGGGCTCCGTGCTGCCCGGGGCGCTCAGCACCGCAGCGCTCGTGAGACTGAAGGGCGGCCGCCCCCCTTTCGTCCCCCAGACTCCCGAGGCGGCTTTTCCTGTTTGTATTTCCCTCTTCTCTACCGCGACTTTTCTATAAAAACACAAAAGGACGTCGGGCGCCTCTGCTGCCACCACGGAGCTCCTGTGCTGTGCGGGGGGGTTGGGCTGGGGGGGGGGGGGGGGTTCCTGGAGGCGGAGCTGGGATGAGCGGAGCTGGGGGGCAGCCCCGGAGCTGCCAGCAGGGGGGGAAGGCCTTGAATCTTCCATTGCTGCCCCACGGCAGCGATGGGGACCCCGATGAGCTGCTTCTGCTTCTTGCTCCTCGTGCTGGGGGGCGCGGAGCTGAAGCCCTTCCAAAGGACGGAGGATCTTCCCAGCCCTTCCCCTGGGGCTGCCGTGTGGCTCCGTGCCCCCCGCCCTGGGCTCGGTGGGACCCCCTGTGCCCCCCTCCTCCACTTTGTCACCCTGCTGTCACACGCGGTGCAGTCAGAGCCCCGTGCTGAGCTGACTCAGTGCTGCTGCTCAGCGCTGATGGAGGAACAGCTCAGCCCTGGGGGGGTCCGTCTGTCCGTCTGCCCCCCACAGCCCCACGCTGGGATTCTTCATCCCCATCTGGGGCAGAGGAGGAGGGCGGGGGGCGACTGCAGTGTGTGACCCCCATGGGGCAGTGAGCGAAGGAAGGGGGGGTGGCAAAAACGCTGCCTGCTCCCCCCAGGGCCGCTGCCTGGACCCCCATCTCTGCGCCCCCATCTCTGCGCCCCCTGGGGCGCCCCGAGTCCCCCCTGCTCAGCAGTGACCCCAGGCCGTGGCGGTGGTTCCCCTCTATGGGGTGACTCAGCCCCCACCCCACAGCAGCATCATGTGAAAGCATTGGGGGGGGGCTGCCCCCCCTTCCCCTCGGTCTCCTCCCTCCCTCTGCTGCTCTTCGCTCCCACTGCCAACATTTTCCAGCTGCCTCCACTTCCTCAATCCGACGCCATAAAAGAGCCAACGAAGCAGCAGCAGCTCCGTCCTGTCCGCACTGAGCTTCCAACCCTGGCAGAGCGATGCTGCGGTGAGGCTGGGGGCTGCTGTGCCCCCCCCCCCTTTCTCTGCCCCCCCCAGGGAAGGGCGGCCCAGTGGGGATGGGGGGAATGGGGTCGATGTGGCGACAGCCAGAGCTTCTGCTGGTTGGGGTCAGGGAGGGGAAACTGAGGCACGGAGAGCTGTTGGGGGCTGCGGTGCTGCCTGCCCTGTGCTGGGGGTGTGGGTGGGGGGGGGTTGGGGGTTGAAGGGGGGGGGTCTGATGGTTTCCTCCCCCAACCCCCCCTCTGCCCAGCCACGGGATCCTGATGTGGGTTCCAGCAGAGCTTTAATGGGAACCAGCTGTCCCTGATCATGGGATGTTTGCATGCAGGCAGCGGGGCCTGGCCCACATCTGACTGGGGGGGGGGTCCTGGATCCCCCCATGGTGAGCCGTGCTGAGGGTCCCCTACAGCCGACACCACTGCAGCTCTGGGCTCTGCGTCCCCGTGGGCTCCGCTCCCTGCAGCTGTGGGGTGCATGGGATGCTGCCCCCCCCCCCATTCCCAGCACCCCCCCTCCCTCATCACTCTGCTGCCCCCCAGGCCCGCACTGCTGGCGCTGCTGCTCCCGGTGGCCGTGGCACAGCTGCGCCCCGAGCCGGAGCTGGACGCCCAATGGGACTCATGGAAGAGAAAGCACAGCAAGCAGTACAACGGCAAGGTGTGGGGCTGGGGGCTGCAGGGCGGTGGTGTCCCTATGGGGTCGGTGCTGGGGTGAGGCTGGTGTCCGTCCGTCCGTCCGCCCCAGCGCCGTCTCGTCCCAGGAGGATGAAATATCCCGGCGATTGATCTGGGAGAAAAACCTGCGCTACATCAACGCCCACAACGCAGAGCACGCGCTGGGAAGGCATTCCTTCCAGCTGGCCATGAACCACCTGGGGGATTTGGTGAGTGGGGCCGGGGGGCAGCAATGGGGGCAGAGGGTGGGAAAACAGTGGGGCAGCAATGGGGACAGGAGGGGACAATTGGGACAGCAGTGGGGACGGCGGTGGAGGCAGCGACGGGGACCACGATGGGGGCAGATGACAGCAGTGGGGATGGCGGTGGGGACAGAGATGGGGGCAGCAATGGGGACAGCGGAGGGGACGGTGTGGGGTAGCGGTGGGGACGGCCGTGGCACCCTTTGGTGCTGCTGAGCCCCAGGGCTGCTGCCCCCCGCCCCTCTCCACCCCCAGACCAGTGAGGAGGTGGTGAGGACGATGACGGGGCTGAGGGTCCCCCGCAGCCGCCCGCGCCCCAATGGCACCCTGTACGTCCCCGACTGGAGCAGCAGAGCCCCGCCGGCTGTGGATTGGAGGCGGAAGGGCTACGTGACCCCCGTTAAGAACCAGGTGAGCGCGGCGCCGATGGGGGTCCGCCCCGCATGGCGCCCCCCCGCCTCACCCCACGCATCCCCGCAGGGGCAGTGCGGTTCGTGTTGGGCTTTCAGCTCGGTGGGAGCTCTGGAAGGGCAGCTGAAGCGTCGGACGGGGAAACTGCTTTCGCTCAGCCCCCAGAACCTGGTGGACTGCGTCTCCAACAACAACGGCTGCGGCGGGGGCTACATGACCAACGCCTTCGAGTACGTCCGGCAAAACCGCGGCATCGACTCGGAGGACGCCTACCCCTACATCGGGCAGGTCTGGGGGGCCGGGGGGCAGCCTGTGGGCTCATCCCCCTTATGCCCCCATCGCCGTGGTTCATTCGGCCCCGCGGGTCCTGCAGGATGAGAGCTGCATGTACAGCCCCACCGGGAAGGCGGCCAAATGTCGCGGCTATCGGGAGATCCCCGAGGGCAACGAGAAAGCTCTGAAGCGTGCTGTGGCCAGGATCGGGCCCGTGTCGGTGGGCATCGATGCCAGTCTGCCCTCCTTCCAGTTCTACAGCCGCGGTGAGGGGGGGGGGACCCCAATCGTGGGGGGCAGTGGGGGAAAATGAGGCGTAGATGGGGTGAAGGTTGGGGGAACCGTCTGCTGGGGGGAGACTGAGGTGTGGAGGGGACGAAGGACGGGGGATCCCATCTGATCCCTCTGGTTGGGGTCGGTGGGGGGAACTGAGACGCGGAGGAGGTGAGGGGTGAGGAAACGCCTCTGTGCAGGGGGAAACTGAGGCATGGAGCTCTGCCCCCCCATAGGGGTGTACTACGACACGAGCTGCAACGCAGAGAACATCAACCACGCGGTGCTGGCGGTGGGGTACGGCGCACAGAAAGGCACCAAGCACTGGATTCTCAAGAACAGGTATGGCAGAATGGGACCCCCAGCCCCCATCCTCACCCCCCCGGCCTTGGGGTGGCCAAAGCAACAACTGATGCTGCGCCCCCCCTTGCACAGCTGGGGCACGGAATGGGGCAATAAGGGCTACGTGCTGCTGGCCCGCAATATGAACAACGCCTGCGGCATCGCCAACCTCGCCAGCTTCCCCAAAATGTGAGCGGCGCCAGCGTCCGTCTGCAGGAGTGGGGCTGGGGGGCTGGAACCCCCCCCCCCCCAGTGCATCTCATCTCTGCGTCCCTTGGGGGATGCGGAGGGCGATGGGATTTTGTTTTTCAAATAAAAGTGGTTGGGAAGAAAGCTGTGAGCGTGGAGAATCTCTGTGTTATGGGGCGGGCAGGGGGGCGCTGGGGCTGCTCGGTGGGGAGGGGTCCTGGTGGTGGTGGATGAGCGGGGGGCAGGGGGTTGTCTCCCCCCCAGATGTCCCCTCCTGCTCCCCTTATGGACACAGAATGCGTTCTTTGTGGGCCGCCTCGCTCTGTTGGGGTGAAAAACTGTGATTTTGGTCAAGCAGAGGGGAAAAAAGAGGGCTTTTCTACACGAGAATTTTGTGCCCGCAAGGAGAAACGGCCGATTTTGGTCAAAGCGAGCAAAAAAAGGTGATTTTTTTGTACGGCCCTTTGGTCAAAACAAGTGAAAAAGCAGCGATTTTTGGTCAAGTCAAGCAGAAAAAGTGATTTTTGCCGTGCGCTCGTTTGGGTCTTGTGGTGGCGAGAGGTGATTTGGTGAGGAGCGATGGCAGCGCGCCGCCAATGGGAGCCGGCGGGTCGGGCTCAGCAAAGCGAAAATGAAATCAAAGCGTTTCCTCATTTCTGGGCTCACGTGATTCGCTGCGCTGCGGGCGCTGGGTGTGAGGTGAGGGGACAGCGGGGACCCCCGGGTGCCCCCCGGACGTGGCTGCGCCCCCCACCACCTTCAGGCCCCGCTGAGGTTCGTGCGTCGCGTCCGCGGTGCGGAGCTCTGGGAGCTGCGTGATGGGGAAGTGAAAGTGTGGGGTGCAGCCCCTCCTGCCTGGATCCATGGGGGAGGCAGCAGCCCCTCCTGGGGGGATGGGGGGCAACGGGGCTCTCATGGCTTTGCCTTTTTTTTCTTCTTGTTTTGGGGAGGTGCTGGAAAATCACAGGTTTGAGTGAGCGGCCATGGGGCGCAGGGAGCGGCGTGGGGAGGGAAGGAGGGCGGTGCTCAGAGGTTGTTGTGTCCCCGTGTCCTGATGTGTCCCCGTGTCCCCGTGTCCAAATACATCCCTGCGCCTGGACACATCTCCATGTCTGTCTGTGTCCCTCTGTCCAGCAGTGCCCCCATGTCTGGCTGTCTGTGTGTCCAGACACCTTTCTGCGCCCAGATGTGTCGCCGTCTGTGTGACACCCGACCAACCTCCCCCCGAGGGCTCTTTGAGTCCATCCCAGAGCTGCGGTGCTGTGGTCAGGATGGGGCAGTCGGCATCACGCTGTGATGACACCCCGACCCGCTCCTCCCTCACCAAACCGGCTCTGTCACGCAGTGCTCACACTCACACTCACACTCACACTCACACACTCACACTCACTGCTCACACGCAGCCCCACTCTGCTGTACAACATGGAGCCGCTGCGCTGCATCGCTGCCCTGCTCGCTCTGCTGGCCGCGATGGGGCACCCGGACCCTACGCTGGATCAGCACTGGCAGCTCTGGAAGAAAGCCCACGGGAAGGCGTACCGCCATCAGGTACGGGGGGAGGTCGGCCGTGGGGGCGCAGCGGCTGCCCCAGGGGTTGATCTGTGGGGTGGGGTTTGGTTTCAGATTGAGGAAGGGCAGCGCCGCGCAACGTGGGAGAAGAACCTGCGCCTGGTGACGCTGCACAACCTGGAGCACTCCTTGGGGCTGCACTCCTACCAGCTGGGCATGAACCACATGGGGGACATGGTGAGGGGCGCCGTGGGGTGGCAGGGAAAGCCTTAACGGGAAGGGCTGTCCGTGCAGGGGGGGGTCACCACCTCTGGAGGGGTGCGAGGAGCACGGAGATGCGGCGCCGGGGGACGTGGATGGTGGGGCTGGGTTGGGTTTGGAGACCTTGGAGGTCATTTCCAGCCTTGATGGTTCTGCGAGCGGCAGCAGGGGGTGGATTGGGGTTGGATGGTGGCCTTGGGGCTCCTCTCCAACCTTAACGAATCCACGGCTCCGTGAGCGGGGCTGGCGGCGGCCGTGTGTTGACGGTTGGATTTGATGATCTTGGAGGTCTTTTCCAACCTCGCTGACTCTATGATTCATCCCCTCCTCTCCTCGCGGCCTCCCATGGCCTCGCCATGCCACACTGCCCGTGTGAGGCAACGGGGTGTGAGGAAATCTCCCTCTTACTGCAGTGTTTGTGGTGCGTGGCCCCGGTCCCGGCCGTGACGTGCGCAAGTTGTCCCCACTCCATTCCCCGGGGCTGCGGGGTGTTTCCATGAGACACAGAGCTGCTGGAGCCCAGCTCCATGCTTTCTATTTCTTGCCCATTCCAGTGAATGGTTGGGACTTAAACACCCACGTATCCGTTTAAAGAAAAAGCCACAGGTCTCCCCCCAAACCCCGAACTTCCGCATCTCGAGGGAAGCTCAGCCCCCGCGCGCTCTGTGTGAGTCCTGACAGAGGGAGGGACGTCACGAGTTGCCGCTTCTCCTCCCAGACCAGCGAGGAGGTGGCTGCGCTCCTCACGGGGCTCCGCGTCCCCCCTGGGCACAGCAGGACCTCCAGGTACCACCGACGCGGCGGCGCCCCGGATGCCGTGGACTGGAGGGAGAAGGGCTGTGTCACGGAGGTGAAGAACCAGGTGGGAAGTTCTCTCCCCATCCCATCCCGTCCCGCGGGCCCGAAGGCAGAGCTGAGCACCAACGCGGGTTCTTGTAGGGCGCCTGCGGGGCGTGCTGGGCGTTCAGTGCCGTGGGAGCCCTCGAGGCTCAGGTGAAGCTGAAAACGGGGAAGTTGGTGTCGCTGAGCACCCAGAACCTGGTGGATTGCTCCACGATGTACGGCAACAAGGGCTGCAGCGGGGGCTTCATGACCAACGCCTTCCAGTACATCATAGACAACGGTGGCATCGACTCGGAGGAATCCTACCCCTACACGGCTCAGGTAGGCGGCTCTCCTCAAGGGAAAGCAGAGCCAAGGCGGCGATTCCTCCAGCGAAGGACATTTCTGATAAGTCACCGGTCGCAATGCTGTCCCTGTGCTGCGTCACATTGCTGAGCCACCAGCAAATTAATGTCCCAGCGCCGAGTCTGGATGTCAAAAGACAAAACCCAGAATGACCTGGAGTGACTCAGTGGCTTCAAAACACGGTGCTGGAAGGAGGTCAGAGGGAAGCTGCTCTGTGTCCCTTCCACCGCAGCCGTTCCAGAACCCCACGGTTCTGTGATCCCTGAGGTCCCTTCCAACCCAAACTGCTGGGATTCCAGGGTTCCGTGACCTTCAAGATCCCTTCCAACCCAAACACTCTGAAATCCTGACTCTAAGGTCTCTCTGAACCAGACCATTCCGTGGTTCTGCGGTTCTACATCTTTGCGGTCCCTTCCCGTGCTGTGATCCCATGGTTTCTGTGATTCATCCGTCTACTCCATAACTCCGTGTACAGAAAAATGGTGTCAAAGAGAAGCAAAGAACGGGGTGGTGGTGCAGGGTGGAAGGGCTGAAGCACCTGAAGGCTTCGAGGTCTCCTGGTGGTTTCCACACCTTCCTCTTGTTCCCACCAGAACGGGACGTGCCAGTACAACGTTTCCTCGCGCGCTGCCACGTGCTCCAAGTACGTGGAGCTGCCCTATGCTGATGAAGCTGCCCTGAAAGATGCTGTTGCCAACATTGGGCCCATCTCTGTCGCCATCGATGCAGCACAGCCCACCTTCTTCCTGTACCGGTCAGGTACGACCCTTTCCCCTTTACCTGGGTCCATGCAGATCCGCGCTCACGCCTTTGTCTTCTGTATCTCGGTGTAAAGCTGATGGAGCTGAAATCTGGGCTGAATTGGGCAAAAATTGGGGCGCAGGGCTCAGATGGAGGCGTTGGTCAGCGTTGGTCCCGCTGTGCCTGGGGGGCTCCGCTCCCTCCAAGCTCTGCTGCTTTGCAGGGGTTTACGACGACCCGCGCTGCACACAGGAGGTGAACCACGGCGTGCTGGTGGTTGGGTACGGCGCCCTCAACGAGAAGGACTTCTGGCTGGTGAAAAACAGGTGAAGGGGCTGCGGGTGCGCAGCGGGCTGCCCTCATCCACTGACCTGACAACGTCTGATGGTCACAGAATCGTAGAATCGCTCAGGTTGGAGAAAACCTTAAAGGTCATTGAGTCCAACCCCGACCCGAGCGCGCTCTGCTCGTACAGAGCAGCTGGACACAGAGCGCAGTGGGGCTGCCGCTGTGGGACAGGGTCGGTTTCGGTCCTTGCGTCGCTCCCCATGGTTGGCGCTCGGCTCTGTCACAGCCTCAAAATGCCTTTAGGACATTTCACACCCCCCAAATTCCCCTTATGAGAAAGAGTCTGGTGTTCAAAATGCCGTGCAGAGGTTGATGAAAGCACAGAACGGTTTCATCGCCGCCTGCAAAAAGCCGTGGCAGAGACCTGGGAAGCACGGGGGGCTGACAGCAGAAGCTTTGCAGAGAAGGGAATCCCGCTTTTCTAACCTGTCTGTTTCCTCTCCCAAAAGTTGGGGCGAACGCTTCGGCGACGGGGGTTACATCCGCATGTCAAGGAACCACTCGAACCACTGCGGGATCGCCAGCTACGCCTCGTACCCACAGATATAGGAGCAGCCCTCTGAGCTGGGGGAGGCCTCCAGCCCAGCTTCTGTCAATCACTGCCTGCAAGAATCAGCTTCTGTCCCTAGGGATGCAGTTCTTTGTGTGGAGCTGGTGGGAGGATTTTAGAGGATGGTTTTCAGGCGCCCACCGCCGGCTTCTCGGAGGAGAAAAAGAAAAAAAAGGTGATTTGTCCTTTTTCCCCATAGTAAAATTGCAATGCCAACAGTTGTTAAAACGGAGATCGCGCCTTCCTCTCCGATCGCTGCGCTGACGGGCCGTGATTTTCTCTCTGCCTGTTATCTACGAAATCGCAGGGTTTTGTTCAGAAAATAAAAATAAACGATGAGTTTCAGCGATCCCCCAAATGCGTGCAGGGCTCTGGAGGCTCCATCGTGTGCCAGAAGGGCTCCAGCCGTGCGCCCCCTGCTCCGCTGCCTCCTTCTCCCTCCGCTGCTGGGATTTGCCTTCTTGTCGCCTTTGGCAGCAGTGCTGGAGTTTCCTTGTCGGTGCTTTGGTGACTTCACGGCGTCCCACAGAACCCTCAAAGCTCCTCGGTGTGTTCTGGGATGACTTTGAGGCTTCTGAGACCCCTCAGTGTGCTCTCAGGTACCCCGGAGCATACGCAGACCTTAGGACACAACAGACACTTCCAGGTAGCCCTGCTGCACTCCAGGGCGCTCTAAACTACTCCCAGACCTCCTCCATTTGCTCCTGGGTGAATGAGGGGCTTCCCCACGCGCCCCAGAGATCTCCAAGGGCTCCCCATCCCACCTCACCCTGCCCCCTGCAACGCTCCTCGTCACACCGCAGCACCTCCAGAGGAAAAGCAAAACCAGCCTCCAACCCGGAGCTGCAGCAGGATTCACTCACAGCAGGGAAGGAACGACAACCTATGGCTGCCAAGCACCAGTCCTGCAGGGAGCAAAGGAACGGACCCTGCAAAGCCAGTTCTGCTCCCCACGCTTCCACTGCTTCTCCTCTTCCGTTCTCCTTCCTGCCGGAATGATGTGTGGATTTATTTTCCCCTCTGCACGCCCCTCAGCCGCTCCTGGAGGCACCTCCCAGTGACAGAAAGGCAGGCTTCTTTCAGGGCATTTATTACAAAATCCTCCGTACCTCCACACTCCTCCACCCTCACCAGAGCAACAAAGAAAAACCAAACCAGCAACTCTTCACTGCAATAAGAGTGAGAAAAAACAGAGCGGTGCCAGCAGGGGCTCCCTCTCACCAGCAGGGCTGAAATGCAGCGCTCTGCAGGAGCTGCTGCTGCTGATCTGAACACCCCTGCACCTCGGTGCTGCTCTGTGCTGCTCTGTCTGCTCTCTCCTGAGCTCTGGGGGGGCCCACGGGGCCACTCTCAGTTCTTTTTGGTCTTGGGGGTGTCGTATTTTCTCTTGCTCGAGTACCACAGCAGCAGCGGGATCCCAATGGAAGGCAGAGTCATCACACCAAAGGCCGCCCAGTCCAGCTGGAAGAAACCACTCCAAGTCAAAACAACCAAGGGATCGCCCTCCCTCCTCCTGAAATCCTGCACTGCTCCTCTGAGCTGGGATGGAAGCCACTCTCCTGCTCAGCGATGCCCTTCCGGGCCGCCGATGTGGACTGACTGCGATCCCACTCTGCGTGTGGGGTTGAGCACAGAGCAACTGCAATCCCCAGCCAGCAGATACTCACAAAATGAGGGGAGAACCTCCTGTCGAACTCACGCTGAGCCAGGATTCCTCCCTGCCCAGGAGCACTCGTGAAACCAACCTGAAAAAGCAAAGGCAGAGGAATAGGATCTGCCACCTTCCCTGCTCACAGCAAAGCATGTGAACTTGAGACTGCAGGGACAGGAAGCATCCCCCAGCACACAGGACATGGAAAGGCAGCTCCACCATTCAGCGTGGGGAGATCCCACACGCAGCCGAGCCACTCACCACGACCTGCCCGCCCTCCTGTGCCAGGTAGGTGATGGTAGCAGAGGTGAAGTTGAAATATCCAGCTTTGAGAGGCCGCAGAACCACCGTGTGGGACACATTGCTTGCCCTGAGGGCCACAAGTTAATGAAAACAGAGGCACTCCAAAGGAAGGAACGCGAAGGTTTGGGTGGAAGGGCTCTCTGCAGTTACAGGTACCCAGGCCCACCCAAAGCTGACCCAACCAACCCCTTTTTCCCCAACCATACGAACTGATTTGGGTTTGTCTGCAAGCAAGTTTGGTTTGTTTGCTTCTTAAGGCACCCTCAAGAGGAGATGTTTGCACCCAGCACCTCCCCCCAGGTCTGGCGTGCTGTCATTTCCGTGACACTGAAGGAGAATGGGAGAACTATGAGACGTCTGGGGGCAAAACTGAGCTTTGGGAGGGAAAATAAACGCAAAACGTGAAAAGATACGGAGCAATTCTGTCCCACTTGACGTTGAGCATCCCAGAGACGATGCCAAAATCCTCCGGGGGGAAGGAATCATCCGACAGCTCCACATCTAAAGCAGCACTGAATGCAACAAGAAAAGAAAAAACGGGATAAGAAGCGAGTCACAGCTGGGTGCTGCACTGAAGGAAGGGATGGCAGCCCCACAGGAATGGTTCAGCTGCTGGGGAAAGTGATTCGTGAAAGAAAAAGGGCACAAAGAGAAGCAAGGGGGGTTGGTGCGTTACAAGCAGAAAGAGGAGAGCAAAATGAAGCTGCAAAAAAGGGAACTGGACGCAAAGGAAATGCTCACGAAGCAAAGAAAGATTCTGTGTGAACGGGCAGAAAAGCATCGCGAGATGAGATGAGTTTCTGCTCCATGGCAGGCAGACACAACAGCTCCAGAAGGAGGAACTCAGCCTTTGTGCCCTGTGCTGAGCTCCCAGCCGGGGGAGGAGGATAACAGTGCATCACGGAGCCCAGAGATCCTCACAGGTCCTCCAGGCACACTCACAACACGAGAAGCACGGAGCAGGCTTACCTGGAGCCGACGTTGTAGATGTTGTACTGCAGAGTGAGGTCTTTGCCCTCCACTGCGTATCTGTTGAGCAGAGACTTGGAGGCCAGCAGCCTGGCGCCCTCCTCACAGCGGGCCACAGAAAAGAGGGCAAACGCAGCAAGAATCAGGAGCTTCATCTGGAGGCAAAGGAAGACAGAATGGCATCAAACTGCGGCTTGCGCTGGAGGCCTCGCTGCCGCACCGGGTGCCCGGAGATCCTCCGTGCGGCCCCCAACACCCAACACCCACCCGGCTCCAGCCACCAGGCCCGGGGCCGCAGCACCGGCCCCCCTCCCCCCTCTTCGCCCCCCGAGCCCCGCGGAGCGCCCAACCTCCGCGCCGGAGGAAGGCCGAGTCAGCACCCAGAGACCGGAAGTTAAAGGGGAAAAAGCGGAAGTCAGCAGGGGAACAGCGGAAGTCGGCTGGGGAAAAAGCGGAAGTCAGCAGGAGAAAAGACGGAGACGGCGTGGAGAGAACGGAAGTCAGCTCAAAGGCACCGGAACTCTGAGCGGATTGACCGGAAGTGCACTGCAGACCGCAACGCGTGGCCCGGAAGTGCTCTGAGAAGCGCGCGTGTGCCTGGCTTTGCAGGGAGCTGCTGCAGCCCCTGCTCAGCCCTGCGGCTCCTCTGGCTCCTCTCCCACAGCTCCCTGTCTTGTCTGGGAACCCCCAGCCCTGGACGCGGTGCTGCAGACGGGGCCTCAGAGAGCAGAGCACAGAGGGACGATCGCCTCCCTGTCCCTGCTGCCCCCCCTCTGCTGATGGCGCCCAGGATCCCGTTTGCTTTCTCAAGGCTGAGAAGCTGAGCTGGGGGAGAGAAGGGGACGGGGACGGGGGAGCTGCTGTCACCGTTATGTCAGCGCAGCACCCATCTCAGTGTCCCCAACCTCATCACGCCATCCCACCTCCCCTCTCTTTGCTGGTTGTCCCCACATCTCCCTCCCTTTGCGCCCATCTATGGCCGCTCTTGCACAGCCCATCCTCACGGTTCTGTTCCCCGTGGCCCCATTCCCACAGCACCCAGTGTCCCCCAGGACAGAAGGGATGTGGGGCACGGGGACACATCCTAAATGGCCCCCACCCCACGCTCACCCCACAGCAGCGGCTCCACGCCTCTCGCCGTCCCCATGCTCTTGCAACAGGGATGGAAGTGGCAGCGGTGACATCAGCAGCCCCGTCCACTTCTCAAATGCGTTTTAGTGGTGAAGAAACAGGAAATCGCAGCCTCATCCCCCCCCAACCACCCCATCGATAGCATCGCCCCAGAGCTGCACGTGGGTGGCACTGCTGTGGCACGGAGATGGGGAGGAGGAGGGCAGCGGTGATGGAGGGGGCAGGGCAGGCCGGGGACAGGGCAAAATATTGCAGCACAAAGCACGAAGCCCTGACAGCCCCTGGACCTCAACCCCCAGCCCATCAGCACCCATTCGATCCGCTCCCCATGGAGCTCCCGCTCGCGTGGCCACGCCCCTTCGAAGCCCCGCCTCTTTAAAGCCACGCCCACATCGTTGTCCGGCCGCCAGGGGGCGCTGCAGTGCTGGGTTGCCGTGGCGCCCCCTGGCGGCCGTGCTGGGGAGGAGCCGAGGGGACGAACGCGGGGTCTTGAGAGCCGCCCGTGGGCTGGGGGGCGGGAAGGGCTGCGAGGAGCCCTGAGGAGCCGCTGGCGTCCCCACCGCCGTTCCCATCGTGTCTCCATCCCATTCCCTGTGCCGGTCCCATCCCATTCCTGTCCCCATCCCTGTCCTCATTCTTGTCTCAATCCCCACCGCTGTCCCATCACATCCCTGCCCTTTTCCCCATCCTCATCCCTGTTCCCATCCCAGTTCCCACCCCATTCGCATTCCCATCTCCAACTCTCTTCCCACCCCCATGTCCCCATTCCTGCTGCCACCGCTGTTCCCAGCCCTTCCCTATCCCCATCCTTCTCTCCATCCCATTCCCTGTCCCCCATCCCAGTTTCTCCCCATGTCCCCTTGCCACCCCGCTGCCACCAGCACATAACCCTGGATTTGGGGCAATGACATTTATGGGGAGGGGAGGGGGGGGAAGAGGCAGTGGGGAACTTGGGGACATTGCCGTTTCCTTCCTCTTTTTCCTCAAATCACATGTAAGCTGTCACTGCTGTCACCTCAGTGCGAGTGCATGGGGACGGCGAGGAGCATCGCGCTGCTGCTGTGGGGTGAGCGTGGGGAGGGGGCCGTTGTGCTGTGGGGGGGTTCCTCTGTCACCACGTCCCTTTGTCCACGTTGTGCCCCCCATCTCCACCCGGCCAGGGGACAGCGGGTGCTGTGGGCACAGAGCTGTGGGGATGGGGAGGTGGGGAGGAGCACCGCGGGGATGGGGAGGTGGGGATGCGGGGTTGGGGAGGTGGGGATGCGGCAGCGGGGCCATGGGGACGGAACACGGGAGTGAGGGGACGGTGGCAACGGTGCCGTGGGGGTGGGCAGAGGCTTCCAGTGCCGCGTGCAGCCCCGGGGATGGCAGGATGTGGGCGGCTGTGATGCAGCGCCGTCCCCTGGGAGCCCCCAGCAGCCACGAAGGCGTCCCCAAACCCCATTGCAGTGGCAGCGGGGGGTGCAGCACGGGGCAGGGATGGGCGCTGACGTGACGGTGACAGCAGCTCCCACGTCCCCGTCCCCTTCTCTCCCCCAGCTCAGCTTCTCAGCCTCGTTGGTGAGTCCCCGACCCCCCCGCTGTCCCCCGGTCTGCTGTCCCCGGCACGCTGCTGTCCCCACGTCCCCCCTGCAGGCTCCCAACCCCCCCTGCTGACGATGGACCCCCCCTGGACACCGCAGTTCGTGGGGCAGAATGTGAAGCTGACCTGCGGGGAGCCCAGCGTGAGCAGCTCCAGCACCTGGTACACGAATGGGCAGTGGTGGAAGAAAACGCCATCAAACCACCTCCACGTGGAGCTGAGTGGCAAAGGGAAATACAGCTTCCAGTGCCAGACCCAAGGCTCTGAGCTCAGCCCTGCTGTTCACCTGACAGCCTCTTATGGTGAGCGGCAGCCGCCGGCACCCATGGGTGCTGGGGGGAGGTTCGGGTTCCCAACCTTTGCCACCCTGCGTGCAGCCACGGCACTTTGGGGACGCCTGCATGGGGTGGACGCACAGCAGCGCGTGGCAGGGTGTGCAGGGTGTGCTTTGGGTGCAGCCCAGCGCCCTCTCTCACGCTCTCCCACAGACTGGCTGGCGCTGCAGGTGCCAACACGGGCAGTGCTGGAGGGGGACTCGCTGTCCCTGCGCTGCAGCGCCTGGAAAGACAAAAAGCTCAGCCAGGTGAAGTTCTTCCATGACGGGAAGCTGCTGCAGGACAGTCGTGGGGACGAACTGCTGCTGTCCCCAGCAGAGCAGCAGCACAGCGGCAGCTATCACTGCTCAGCCTACGTGCATTTCTTCAGCACAGGATTGAAAGCCTCTGCCCAAATTGACCTCGTGGTGCAAGGTGAGCCCGAGCAGGGGTGGGTTTGGGGGGGTTTGGGGGGGCTTGGGAGGGGGTTCCTGCAGCGCTGCTGCTGTCACCCCCTGCTCTGTTCCTTCCCAGAGCTCTTCTCAGTGCCGGAGCTGAGCCTGCAGGGTCCCCAGGAGCCCCCCGAGGGCAGCGCCCTGACTCTGCTCTGCTCCACCCGTGGCAACGCGCTGCGGCCCCACGTCTCCCTGCAGCACCTCTTCTACCAGGATGGGCGGCTGGTGGGGGGGCCGCAATCGGCCCCCCAGCACCGGGTGCCGGCGCTGCTGCCGTCCCACTCGGGGTCCTACAGCTGCCAGGTGCAGACAGAGACGGGCAGCGTGCGGAAACGCAGCGCCCCCATCACCGTCACTGTGAGAAGTAAGCGGGCAGTGGGGCAGGGAGGGGATGGGGGGGGGTCCCAGCTCCCCCCCGGGCCTGCGTGGATCCCCCCCATCCCAATCCGGGTCCCGACATCCATCCTGATTCCCTCCACCCGTTCCCAGGTTCCCCATCCGCTCCCCAACTTTTATTTCCAGTTCTCCAATTGCTTTCTCAGTCCCCGCATTCCAATTCAGGGCCATCATTGCACCCCACGTCCCCCATCGTTTCCACATCCTGCATCCCTCCTGGGTCCCTCCATCCAACCCCAGGTCCCCATCCCTGCCCTGGTGCTCTGCTCCTCACCATGTCCCCTCTTCTGCTCCCCTCCTCTCCGGTCCCTTCCAATTCCACCCCACCCAAACCAACCTCCCCTCTCCCCCATCCCCTCCCCAGGGATTCCCGTGGCCGGGGTTTCCCTGCACTCCGATCCCCCCGATGCTCAGGTTCTGTTGGGTGACCGCGTGCTGCTGAGCTGTGCGGTGGCGGAGGGCTCCGGGCCGCTCTCCTTCTCCTGGCACCGGCAGAACCGCACGGGAGCGCTGGGCTCGGGGCCGCTCTACGAGCTGCAGGCGGCGCAGCTGGGGGACGACGACCGCTATCACTGCACGGCCAGCAACGGCATCAGCACGGCCAGCAGCCCGCAGCTGCGCCTCGCCGTCACACGTGAGCTCAGCCCGCTGCGCCCCCTGCCCGCACCTCTCCCACCCGGTCCCCCCGCCCTGCCGGGCTCCACCCAGACCCTTCGGTCCCTCCTCGCGCCCCCGGGTGCCCCCTGTCCCCCCGTCTCTTCCCTGTCGCCCCGTCCCTTCCAGATTCCCCACGTCCCACCCCAGAACCCCCCTTTGTGCCCCCCGCCCCCCATCCCTCTCCGCTTGCTTCCATCCATCCCCGGCTCCGCATCCCTGCCCCAGTGCCCAACATCTCACTGCTCCCATCCCCACCCCACCCGCGTTCCCTGTCCCACACCCCCCACTCCACCCACATCCCATCTCTCGGTGTCCTCCATCCCTCCTGAGTCCCTCCATCTGTCCCCAGCTCCCCATCCACGCCCACATCGCCCCCAGCTCCCAAATCCCTCCTGGATCTGCAATCCCATCTCATCCCCTCCCCTCTCATCCCATCCCATCCCATCTCATCCCATCCCCTCCCCTCCCCTCCCATCTCATCCCCTCCCATCCCATCTCATCCCATCCCATCCCATCCCATCCCATCCCATCCCATCCCATCCCATCCCATCCCATCCCATCCCATCCCATCCCACCCCCTCCCCTCCCCCTGTCCGACCCCATGCCCTCTCAGTGCCGGTGTCCAACGCCAGCATCGCGGTGCTGGGGACGGAGGTGGGAGCAGAGCTGGAGCGGACGGCGGGCGAGGAGCTGAACCTGAGCTGCAGGGTGGGGGAGGGGACGGGGCCGGTGGGCTTCGTGTGGCTGCGGGACGGGCAGGAGCTGAGCAGGGGCCCCACGTGGCACCTGGGGGTGCTGGGGCCGCAACACGCGGGCACCTATCAGTGCGTGGCCGCCAACAGCCTGGGGACCCGGCGCGTCTTCGAGGCCCGCAGCCCCGAGGTTCTCCTGGTGGTGACGCGGCAGGGATGGGGACGGCGGCGGGCGCAAGGTGAGGGCCGTGGGGACGCGGCCCCGGGGCTCTGCCGGCCCGGCCCGTGCCGCACCGTCCCCTCTCCGTCCCCAGTCCTGGCTGCAGGGCTCCCCGCGTCCCTCCTGGTGCTGCTGGCCGTCGCTGCTGCGCTCGCTCGGCACTTCTGGCGGCGGCGGCGCGGCGGTGAGAGCCACAAACGGGGGGCGGCGGGGTCCGACGCACGGGGGACAACGTGGGGACAACGTGGGGACAACGGGGCTCCCCCGGGGACGCTCACCGCCTCCTCTCCCCTTCCTTCGCAGCAGCCTCCAAGAGGCAGCACAGGTGTGCGCAGCACCCGGCCGAGCCCCCCTGCGCCCTCCGACTCCGTCCCTTACCCCCGCCGTCCCTTTGCCCCCCCAGGGACCCCGCAGCCCCTCCTGGCCCTTCTTCCCCCCCCATCCTCAGCACGGAGCCCTCGGAGCCCGACTACATCAACGGTGAGCGCCAGCCCTCGGGGGCAGCGCGGCGCCCGCGGCGCAGCAACGACGTTCCGTCCGGGTTTGTCCCCGCAGTGCCGCCGCGGACGCCGAGCGCCGAGGACGTGCTGTACTGCACCGTCACCATCACAGAGCACCGGGGGGGTGAGCGGAGGGGAAGGGGCTCCCCGGCGCGTCCCCAGATGCCACCTGGCCGCCTTCTCCTCCTCCAGGCGCGTCCCCGCGGGGTCCCTCAGCCCCCCAGGAGGCCGCTGTCACCTACGCAGACCTCCGGGGGATGCAGCATCCGAGCGACAGCTACGAGAACCTCCCTCACCAATAAACGCCGGTCGTTCGTTGCCCCAAAAGCCTGGGTTTTTTTTACCCTAAATCTCCTCCCGAGCTGCCGCCCGTCCGCTCAGCCCCTTCCGCCCCATCGCAGAACGGCGCCGCTCCTCTCATTTCCCCCAAACCGCCCCCAGCACAGCAGGGGAGAAGCGTGGGGGGCTGGGGGGGGGCATTGCTTTCACCCCCTAAAGTGGCCTTTTGGGGTTATTTGGGGTGAAAACGGCATTTTCGGTCCCCACCTGCACACAGTGCCCCCATGCGCCCCTTTGTCACCATCCCCACCCCGCTCTGATGCTGCTCCCATAGAAGCAGGGTGTGGGAGGGGGGCACTGGGCACCTCCCCCCCCCCCCCCCCCCAGTCCCAAAAAGCCCCGACCCACAGCCACGTGGGGCTGAAAAGCTTCATTTATCGAGTGGAAAAAGCTTCAGTCCTGCATTGCAGCCCCAAAAGCAGTAATTTGGGGAGGGGGCGCAGGGAAGGGGGGGGGGGGGTCCAGGCTCAGGGTTTGTGCTGCAGCATTTCGTACGTCTCCTGGTGCTCAGAGCTGAGCCCCTATGGAGGGAAGGGAAGAAGGAGGGGGGGGGGGGGGGTCAGGGGTTGGTTCACCCCCACCCCAAAATGGCATTTTCCCCCCCAAAATGGTGCCTTTGGGATGGGGGTGGGCGCTGCTGGGGTGGGATGGAGGCACCAAAGGGATGGGGGGGGCCCAAAAGAGGAGGGGGGGGGGAGATGCATAACCCATCAATACGGCCCCCCCCAGGGGATGGGCACCCATGGGCTCAGCCCCCCCCCCACCCCATAACTCTGCCCCCCCAGGGTGGGCAGCACTCACTGTGTAAATGCCTTCATCCGGCTGCAAAGGGAAAGAGAAAGAGAAAACGATTGATGGGGGGGGGGGGGGGAAGCACACAGCACCACCCAGCTCCACTGCAACCACAGCCCTGAAATGGGGAATTGCCCAAGAAATGGTGATTTTGGGGTTTAGGATGTTCCCCCTCCCCCCCATCCCAGCGTGGGTCTCAGCTGAGCGCTGCCCATCCTGTTTCTCCCCCTTTCCTCCCCATTTCTCCCCCTTTCCTCCCCATTTCTCCCCCTTTCCTCCCCATTTCTCCCCCTTTCCCCCCCCCATTTCCAACACTGTGCAGTTCATCAGGCTGGTCGCTGTTTGTCCCCACTGTGTCCCTCCCCCCCCCCCAGGTGTTGCCCCCTCACCCCCCACCCTATGGTGACAAAGGACCTCACCTTCTTGGGCGCCTCCTGCACAGCTCTGCGAGTCACGATCTGCAGGGAAGCCACAGAATCAGCCTCAAGTTGCCCCCAAAAACCAGAAATAAAGAAGAGGGAAGACCCCCAAAATGGGAGGCTGGGGTTGGGGAGGGGGCGCTGAGCTCTGTCCCCAAGTGGGGGCGGCGTCCCGGCGCTCACCTTGAGGTGGCAGTAGAGGATGGTGAGGACGATGCCGTAAAGGAAGAGGATCCCATCGAGGACGTAGCACAGCTCCGGCTCTGCCAGCGCCTCTGTGGGGAGGGGGGGGGGGGAAGAGTGGGGTGCGGGGGGGTCTGTAGGGCAGCGGTGCCCTTAGGGTGGGTCTGAGCGGGGCAGCGGTGGCACCGATGTCCCCAATGCGACGGCTTCACGGAGCACCTGCGTGGCCCCAGGGCTGAGCCCCAAACGGCCACCCCAGCACTGAGGGTCCCCCCAGGAGGACAAGAACAGCACCGACCCCCCCCCATCCCCACAGCCCCCTCCCCACATCCTTTCCCCCCCTCTTCTCCCCTCCTCCAGGGTCCCCATCCCTACCCGCTGCCGGCACCTGGAGCAGCAGAGCGGCGGCCAACGGCAGCCAGGCTCTCATGGTGACAAAAAGGTGGAGGAGGAGGCAGAGCTCGGGCTGAGCGCCTTCCCCTCCCCTCCCCAAACCCTCACTTCCCCTCTGGTCAGCGCTCAGCCATTTGTCACCACGTTGTCCCCGACGTCAGCGCGCGGCCAGCAGCGCCGGCTGGGTGCAAAAGCCATCAGAGCCACCCCGAGCCCAGGGCTGGGGAAGGGAGGAGGATCCTCCAGGGCCCAGGGGTGCGGGTGAAGAACCTCAGATAAAGGAAAGGGGAACGGCCAGATCAGAAACCTCGTGTGGGAAAGGAAGGAAGAGCGGCTTTGGAGGCAGCCGGATCCGTTTTAGCTTTTATTCAACTCAGACCGCAGCACGGAAAGGACGCGGATGAACCGAGCGCGAAACCTCAGCGATCCACCTCCCCAAAAACGATGTCCTGAGTGCCTGCAGCGAGAGAGCAGCGTGAGCAGGGGGCAAAACCGCCGCCAGGCCTCCCCTCAGCCACCGAAACCCCAGCCAGGAGCCCCGGCACAACGCACCGATGATGGCCACCACGTCCGCCAGCATGTGGCCCTGCGACATCCTGTCCAGGCCGGCCTGGGGGAGATAAAACCACCGTCAGCCCCGCGCTGGGACAAGGACAGCCTGCTCACACTGCCTGCGCCTCCACGGCGTCCCCGTCCCCAAAGCTGCCTCCTGTGCCTCCGTGCGGCAGGAAGGAAAGCGCCGTGGGGCCGGCGCCGCTCGGGGGCTGCGTTTGTGGAGCCCCTCAACCCCCGTGGTTTTGTGACAGAGGGACAAACGGCCCCCATGGGCAGCGCTATGGGTCTGATGCGAGGAAGCGGTCAGAGAAAGGAAACGAGAGCGGGGAGGGCGAGAGCACGAGGCTGCGGCTCAGGGTTTGGGGCAGCGCCTGGCCCAGCGGAGCCACCAGCGAGGGCGCAGGCTGTGGGTGACGGCTGAGGCCCTGCAGGTGGCAGCGGGGCTCCTGTGCGGCTCCCCCAGCCCCCCTCCCTGCCCCCCCCCCCGAGCCCCCGACCCCCTACCAGGTGAGCAAAGCCCGGTGCTTTGATCTTGCAGCGATACGGACGGCTGCTGCCATCCGAGACGAGGTAGACGCCAAATTCACCCTGTGGGAACAGAAGGGACGCAGACGTTGCGTCCGAGCCCAGAGATGAGTGAAAGCAGCACCCAGGGCAGGACGGCTGTGTGTGCGACGCCTGCGCGGCCGCAGAGCTCACAGCCCTCAGCCCTGAGCTCCGCACATCACGGCGCCTCCAGGGCGGCCCAGGTGCCCTCCTGCCACCGAGCTGCAGGTGCCACAGCGAGCCAGAGACCCGGATCAGCCCCACAGAGCCCCTCGCCCCCCAAGTGGCACAAAAAGGGGCACCTTGGGGGCCTCGATGGCCGTGTAGGTGGCGCCGGGTGGCACCTGGTAGCCCTCGGTGTAGAGCTTGAAGTGGTGAATGAGGGACTCCATGGAGGTCTGTGGGGAGAGAACGCAGTCAGGGGACGCTGGGGATGGAGAGCAGAGCGGGGGCCCCAAAGCTGAGACCCACAAACCCATGGAGGGGGGGGGGAGGGAGCAGCTTTACCTTCATCTCTGCCCGCTTGGGAGGAGAGATTTTGGCATCATCCACTTTGATTTCCCCCTCTGGCATCTTATTGAGGCACTGCAGGATGATGCGCAGGGACTGACGCATCTCCTCCACGCGGCACAGGTAGCTGTGGGGCACAGAGAGCTCAGGAGGGGGTTGGGGGGGGGTTTGGGGGGCTGGAGGGGGGGGGAGGGAGGCGCACCGGTCGTAGCAGTCGCCCCTGGAGCCGATGGGGACATCAAACTCCACCTGATCGTAGACGTCGTAGGGCTGCGTCTTACGTAGGTCCCAATGGATCCCTGAGCCCCGCAGCATCACCCCGCTGGGGCAGTGGGGAGATTTGGTGAAGGGGGGGGGACCACAGCCCCACAACCACCCCATAACCACCCCATAACCACCCCACAACCACCCCACAACCACCCCACAGCAATGCCTGAGTCCACTGGGGGGCTCTGCATCAAAGGGGACGCGGGATGGGGACAGCAGCTCTGGGGATACGCAGTGATGCTCAGCCATCCCCACCCCAGGGATTCCCATAACCGAAGCTCAGAGCCCTCAGGCCCAGACCCCGACCCCCGCGAGCCCCCCAGCAGCGCGACGTGACCCCAAAGTGGGTCCCCAAGAGCTGCCCCCCCACCTGAACCCATAGTTGAGCGCCTCCTCTGCCGTGATGACCCCGATGTCGACGGTGCGGTTCTTCCAGATGCGGTTGTTGGTGAGCATCTGCGGGCAGCAAAGGGTGAGCAGCCCCTTTTTGGGGGGCACGCGGCCCCCCCCCCCCCCCCCACTGCCGCCCCACAGCAGCCCCCTTTGGTCCCATCCTTCACCTGGGTGCCCCCCCAGCCCCCGAAACGCAGCCTCACCTCTTCCACCTCATCCACCCGGGTGGAGAAGTTCTTTGCGAACTCGTAGATGTCGTCCATCAGCCCCAGGGGCAAATCCTGGGGGAGGGGGACGTCAGCACAGCCGGGAGGGGGGACACGGGGACGTCCCCACCCCTGGCCCATTGTCCCAAAGGGGCTGCGGGGATCCCAGCTCCCCTCACCTGATGCA